AATCATACTTCTTCAGCTAATGGTAAACTGCTGATGGACTACATGCCATCCAGTTCAAAAGGACCCAGTCCAGGAAAGTTTTCTCGTTATAATTCGGTTTTAATATATTCTTTTGATGATAATAATGTTATTTAATAATGCCTTTATACTCCACAACCGAAGAATCATACTTCTTCAGCTAATGGTAAACTGCTGATGGACACATTCCATCCAGTTCGAAAGGGCCCAATCCGGGAAAGTTTTCTCGTAATAATTCGGTTTTAATATATTCTTTTGATGATAATAATGTTATTTAATAATGAATTTATACCCCCTAACCGAAGAATCATACTTCTTCAGCTAAGGGTAAACTGCTGATGGACACATGCCATCCAGTTCGAAAGGACCCACCTCAGGAAAGTTTTCTCGTTATAATTCGGTTTTAATATATTCTTTTGATGATAATAATGTTATTTAATAATGAATTTATACCCCACAACCGAAGAATCATACTTCTTCAGCTAATGGTAAACTGCTGATGGACACATTCCATCCAGTTCGAAAGGACCCAATCCGGGAAAGTTTTCTCATTATAATTCGGTTTTAATATATTCTTTTGATGATAATAATGTTATTTAATAATGAATTTATACCCCCCAACCGAAAAATAATACTTCTTCAGCTAATGGTAAATTGCTGATGGACACATGCCATCCAGTTAGAAAGGACCCACCCCAGGAAAGTTTTCTCGTTATAATTCGGTTTTAATATATTTTTTTGATGATAATAATGTTATTTAATAATGAATTTATACCCCACAACCGAAGAATCATACTTCTTCAGCTAATGGTAAACTGCTGATGGACACATGCCATCCAGTTCGAAAGGACCCACTTCAGGAAAGTTTTCTCGTTATAATTCGGTTTTAATATATTCTGTTGATGATAATAATGTTATTCAATAATGAATTTATACCTCCCAACCGAAGAATCATACTTCTTCAGCTAATGGTAAACTGCTGATGGACACATTCCATCCAGTTCGAAAGGGCCCAATCCGGGAAAGTTTTCTCGTAATAATTCGGTTTTAATATATTCTTTTGATGATAATAATGTTATTTAATAATGAATTTATACCCCACAACCGAAGAATCATACTTCTTCAGTTAATGGTAAACTGCTGATGGACACATGCCATCCAGTTCGAAAGGACCCGCCTCAGGAAAGTTTTCTCGTTATAATTCGGTTTTAATATATTATTTTGATGATAATAATGTTATTTAATAATGAATTTATACCCCACAACCGAAGAATCATACTTCTTCAGCTAATGGTAAACTGCTGATGGACACATTCCATCCAGTTCGAAAGGACCCAATCCGGGAAAGTTTTCTCATTATAATTCGGTTTTAATATATTCTTTTGATTATAATAATGTTATTTAATAATGAATTTATACCCCCCAACCGAAAAATAATACTTCTTCAGCTAATGGTAAATTGCTGATGGACACATGCCATCCAGTTAGAAAGGACCCACTCCAGGAAAGTTTTCTCGTTATAATTCGGTTTTAATATATTCTTTTGATGATAATAATGTTATTTAATAATGAATTTATACCCCACAACCGAAGAATCATACTTCTTCAGCTAATGGTAAACTGCTGATGGACACATGCCATCCAGTTCGAAAGGACCCACTTCAGGAAAGTTTTCTCGTTATAATTCGGTTTTAATATATTCTTTTGATCATAATAATGTTATTCAATAACGAATTTATACCTCCCAACCGAAGAATCATACTTCTTCAGCTAATGGTAAACTGCTGATGGACACATGCCATCCAGTTCCAAAGGACCCACTCCAGGAAAGTTTTCTCGTTATAATTCGGTTTTAATATATTCTTTTGATGATAATAATGTTATTTAATAATGAATTTATACCCCCAGCCGGAAAATCATACTTCTTCAGCTAATGGTAAACTGTTGATGGACACATGCCATCCAGTTCCAAAGGACCCACTCCAGTGAAGTTTTCTCGTTATAATTCGGTTTTAATATATTCTTTTGATGATAATAATGTTATTTAATAATGAATTTATACCCCACAACCGAAGAATCATACTTCTTCAGCTAATGGTAAACTGCTGATGGACACATGCCATCCAGTTCGAAAGGACCCACTTCAGGAAAGTTTTCTCGTTATAATTCGGTTTTAATATATTCTTTTGATGATAATAATGTTATTTAATAATGAATTTATACCCCCCAACCGAAGAATCATACTTCTTCAGCTAATGGTAAACTGCTGATGGACACATGTCATCCAGTTCAAAAGGACCCAGTGCAGGAAAGTTTTCTCGTTATAATTCGGTTTTAATATATTCTTTTGATGATAATAATGTTATTTAATCATGAATTTATACCCCCCAACCGAAGAACCATACTTCTTCAGCTAATGGTAAACTGCTGATGGACACATGCCATCCAGTTCCAAAAGACCCACTCCAGGAAAGTTTTCTCGTTATATTTCGGTTTTAATATATTCTTTTGATGACAATAATGTTATTTAATAATGAATTTATACCCCCCAACCGAAGAATCATACTTCTTCAGCTAATGGTAAACTGCTGATGGACATATGTCATCCAGTTCAAAAGGACCCAGTGCAGGAAAGTTTTCTCGTTATAATTCGGTTTTAATATATTCTTTTGATGATAATAATGTTATTTAATAATGAATTTATACCCCCCAACCGAAGAATCATACTTCTTCAGCTAATGGTAAACTGCTAATGGACACATTCCATCCAGTTCGAAAGGGCCCAGTCCAGGAAAGTTCTCACCGTTATAATTCGGTTTTAATATATTCTTTTGATGATAATAATGTTATTTAATAATGAATTTATACCTCCCAACCGAAGAATCATACTTCTTCAGCTAATGGTAAACTGCTCATGGACACATGCCATCCAGTTCGAAAGGACCCACCCCAGGAAAGTTTTCTCGTTATAATTTGGTTTTAATATATTCTTTTGATGATAATAATGTTATTTAATAATGAATTTATACCCCACAATCGAAGAATCATACTTCTTCAGCTAATGGTAAACTGCTGATGGACACATGCCATCCAGTTCGAAAGGACCCAGTCCAGTGAAGTTTTCTCGTTATAATTCGATTTTAATATATTCTTTTCATGATAATAATGTTATTTAATAATGAATTTATACCCCCAACCGAAGAATTATACTTCTTCAGCTAATGGTAAACTGCTGATGGACACATGCCATCCAGTTCGAAAGGACCCACCCCAGGAAAGTTTTCTCGTTATAATTTGGTTTTAATATATTCTTTTGATGATAATAATGTTATTTAATAATGAATTTATACCCCACAATCGAAGAATCATACTTCTTCAGCTAATGGTAAACTGCTGATGGACACATGCCATCCAGTTCGAAAGGACCCGGTCCAGTGAAGTTTTCTCGTTATAATTCGATTTTAATATATTCTTTTCATGATAATAATGTTATTTAATAATGAATTTATACCCCCAACCGAAGAATCATACTTCTTCAGCTAATGGTAAACTGCTGATGGACACATGCCATCCAGTTCGAAAGGACCCAGTCCAGTGAAGTTTTCTCGTTATAATTCGATTTTAATATATTCTTTTGATGATAATAATGTTATTTAATAATGAATTTATACCCCCAACCGAAGAATCATACTTCTTCAGCTAATGGTAAACTGCTGATGGACACATTCCATCCAGTTCGAAAGGACCCGCCCCAGGAAAGTTTTCTCGTTATAATTTGGTTTTAATATATTCTTTTGATGATAATAATGTTATTTAATAATGAATTTATACCCCTCAACCGAAGAATCATACATCTTCAGCTAATGGTAAACTGCTGATGGACACATTCCATCCAGTTCGAAAGGGCCCACTCGAGGAAAGTTTTCTCGTTATAATTCGGTTTTAATATATTCTTTTGATGATAATAATGTTATTTAATAATGAATTTATACCCCCCAACCGAAGAATCATACTTCTTCAGCTAATGGTAAACTGCTGATGGACACATTCCATCCAGTTCGAAAGGGCCCAGTCCAGGAAAGTTTATAATTCGGTTTTAATATATTCTTTTGGTGATAATAATGTTTTTTAATAATGAATTTACATTTACGTCACAAATATTTTGCATTGTAAAATATATTCTGTTATAAAAATATTGAAATAAAATTTGAAAAAGTTTCATGCTTCAATGTTTGTCTCATTTGTTAAAAATGCTTTGCCGAGAATAGCCGGCTCATTTATTTTAATTCAAGTAGTTAATTAAGTTTTTATTGTGCGCTACAAAGGGTCGCAAAAAATTAATGAGCTTAGACGTTCTTTCTCTGAATAAAATAGAACATGAACAGAAAAATAGGACAGTAATAACCATCTTTGGGACTGTTAAGTTTAGAAGATGGATTTTCCTATTTCAAAATGGAATGAAAAACAATAAAGAATGTTTATGTAGTTCTAAATTCATAGTTGCCGGAGATAATAAATTAATTAATTCGAAATAAGCAATAATAATTTAATTAAATTGAATTTTAAGTTATTCCAAGAATATTAAAAAGAAGAGCTTATTAATGTTCAGTTTATGGCGTGTTTTAAGATAATTTTAGCCGTGATAAAAGTTTCTTCATCTCAGGAAACTGATATACACTAGCCAAAACTTCAGTGTGTTTTTTAGTATACCGTTTAAATTTTCAATCCTATAGCTAAACAAAATTAATTTTAATCATCATCTTCATTGTAAAACATTGATATAGGTACAAAAAAACTCCAATTAAAATATTGTAGTTGTCGAAACGTCAAATGCAAACTGAGTCACGGATACTCGTTATACTAAAATTCACTAGTTGAATTAATATCTGTTGATTGTTATCGAAAAACATTGAGAGACAGAATCAATTTATTACCACTTTCTTCAATCAACTTTAATAGACCTGTATTATCTTCTTTTGCAGGCGAGCCAGGAAGCAAGGTGTTCGGTTCCATAATAGATGGGGTGTTCGAGGGGAAAATCGTCTCCCCGAAAGGGTCGTATTACGTGGAGAAGGCCCGCCACTATTTTCCACACGCAAAACATCCGAATCGGACGTTTCATTCAATTATTTACCACGAGGATCACGTTCACGACCCCTATGAAGACGTTAGAGAAGGTAAGTTTCAAATATATTAACTTTAGAACATTTACCATTGATAAGTAGTAATCTACAGGGTGTTCCACTTAAGATGGATACAAGCCAATATATTGGTTGTTTGTTGAGCGATCTTTTTCATTTTTGGCAGGAGGCTGTATGGCTACAAGACGTACATTTTGCCCAGGGTAAGAAATGCGATACCTCATAGACGTACGTTTTAATGGGGTTTGATATTTTTCGAGTCACGAGTAAACTACTCTTAGGACAGTATTTATTTCAAATCTGATAAATTATATAGAATCCTCCTTACCTAAGATACTTCAGTTCTAATTTTGATAAATATTGATACAGGGTGCGTCATTAAAATAAGACATTTTTATTTTTATTATTATTTTTTTAAGTACTTACGACGCCACTGGATAAACAGCAGGTTTATTATCAATAACCAATTATCAATTAATAATCGATTTAAGTTTTCAGATAGCTTCCATATTAATTAAGATACGATACAAAAAACAAAATATTTTCAATTTATTTTGTTTACTTTAAAAAATTGTTTTTTAAGTTTGCTATTACAAATGAATTTAACAAATTACAAGATAATTTAAAAACCAAGTTTTCAATGGAATCTGAAATATGATTTTTATTCGTTTATTGAGGAAGATTTTAAAAAATCCAAATAGATACTTAAAACTCTCTATGTTTAGACTACTTTACTACTTTACAACAACAATATCAAGTATCGAATAGAGCAGTTAAGAGATCAGCCAGAAAGGACAAACGAGCTTGGCATGAACAACTAGCAAACGAGTCACAAAAAGCTGCAGAACAACGCAATATGAGGGAACTGTACAAAATAACAAAACACCTGAGTGGACAACGTAGTAACTTCAATACAGTTATTAAAAGCAAAGACGGCAGACCACTAACATCCTCTGAAGAACAGCTTGACAGATGGAAAGAACACTTCAGCAACCTGCTTGGACCAATAAGTGAACAAAATTTCGACAACGAGGAACCGAAGCCAACAATCGAAATGCCTATCAACTGCGACACGCCAACGAAAACAGAAATACAAAAGGCTATTAAAACACTTAAGAACAATAAAGCAGCCGGCCCCGATAGCGTCCCTGCAGACCTCCTCAAAGCAGATCCTAGCACAGCAGCAAACATACTGCATCCTCTAATTACACGAGCTTGGGTATCTAACATCATCCTAGATGAATGGAAATAGGGTCTCATTATTAAACTCCCTAAAAAAGGAGATACCTGGTGAGGTATTGTTTTGTTAAACACCATTCACAAGATAATATCCTCTATAGTTCATTTAAGGTTAAACTCCTATATAGAGCCTACTCTGAGAGAGAACCAAGCTGGTTTCCGACCGAACCACTCGTGCATTGACCATATTAATACATTGCGCATTATCATAGAGCAGTCAATAGAATTTAGGTCACCTTTATTCTTATTATTCATAGATTTCGTCAAAACTTTTGACAGTATCCCCCATGCGATGGTATGGAAAACTCTAAAAGAAAACGGTGTTCCGGAAAAACTAATTAATATAATCAAGTAACTCTACAGAAACACAGAATGCAATGTGCTGCACAACGGTAGAACCAGCGACAGTTTTAACTTAGGGACAGGAGTAAAGCAGGGTTGCACATTATCGCCGCTTTTATTTAATATCGTGCTCGACAGCGTTTTGACTAAAGCCACAGCAAACATTAGGGGAGTACAATGGACTCTGACATCGCATCTGACGGATCTTGATTATGCTGATGATATCTGTCTCACAACGCAATCCTTCAAAGACATGGAAATGATGCTCAGACGTCTAAAAACAGAAGCAGACAAAGTAGGATTAAGCATAAACATCGACAAGACAAAGTCAATGCGCATTAACACAAACAACAACACTCCATTCAATGTAGGAATCAAACATGTCGAGAATGTAACAGAGTTTACTTACCTGGGAAGTATTGTAACAGCAAACGGTGGCGCAGACGCGGATATTGTCAGCAGGATCAGGAAGGCGCAGCGAGCCTTTGGCTAACTAAAATCAGTTTGGACCTCCCGTCAACTCTCCATACAAATAAAATTAAGAATATTCAATTCCAACGTCATACCAGTTTTATTATATGGCTGCGAGATATGGAGATTGACAAAAATATCCATCAACCGTCCACAGGTGTTTATCAATCGCTGCTTGCGGTAAATACTTAAAATCTTTTGGCTAGACACTATACGTAACACCGACCTGCTTCATCTTACAAAGCAACAAGAAGTAGGCATTGAAATCCGCAAAAGAAAATGGGGTTGGATAGGTCACACTTTGCGGAAACCTGATAGTAATATAGCGAGATCAGCGTTGGAGTGGAATCCCCAAGGAAAAAGAAAGCAAGGACATACTGGATGAGCTTCAACAAGTAGGGTCAACATGGAAGGAAGCAAAAACAACTGCCAAAAACAGAACCCGATGGAGAGCTTTCACTGAAGCCCTTTGCTCCGCGTAGGAGATATTTGATCCTATATGTTTAAAATAATCACTATTAACTTTGAAAAATATGCTCTAAACAAAGATTTATCAAACTATACGAACTAAAAGTCAACATCTTCGACCAAACCATCATTAAAAAAAACGATTATTAATTGATACTCGGTTATAATTGGTTATTGATAATAAACCAGTTGTTTATCCAGTGGCGTCGTAAGTACTTAAAAAAATAATAATAAAAATAAAAATGTCTTATTTTAATAACACACCCTGTATCTATATTTATCAAAATTAGAACTTAAGTACCTTAGGTAAGGAGGATTCAATATAATTTATCAGATTTGAAATAAATACTGTCCTATGGGTAGTTTACTCTTGACTCGAAAAATATCAAACCCCATTAGAACGTACGTCTATGAGGTATCGCATTTCTTACCCCGGGCAAAATGTACGTCTTATAGCCATACAGCCTCCAGCCAAAAATGAAAAAGATCGCTCAACAAACAACCAAGATATTGGCTTGTATCTATCTTAAGTGGGACACCCTGTATATACGGGGTGCTGGAAATAGTTGGATATTTTGCAGCAAAACATTTATATTAATAAATTAATTAACATTTTATTTTCTATCGAATAAAGTAAAACAATACAGAGGGTGCCATTTAAAAATCAAAAGTTGTAGTCATTTCCGGTGAAACAGGAAGTGACCAAAAACAATTGAATACGTCAATCATTCCTAATTTATGTCATATACTAACATACCAAATCTCGTTTTTTTAATTGAAAAAATAAAAAAGTTATAGGGGGTGAGCCACTTTGAGACGCACCCGGTATAATGAATTATTTGTAATTGAGCTGTAATTTCTGTATTATTAATCCCGTAAATGATGGAGATAAACAATTGTGATTGATTAAACTTTTAAAATAAAAGAATGAATCTTTTGTTAACAACATTTTGAGAATTCTAATAATGAATTGAATAATGACAAGACAAGTGACATCTGTCTAAAAAAGACAGCATTTAAACATTAGATTAGTAGTAGTTAGTAGTACTCAGAGATATAGATGTAGAAAATCTTAAGGTTTGTGTATTTGTATTATTTATCTGCTACAATCATTATAAATAATTTAATACCTTTTTGGTTACTACATTTCTCTGTTATTATACGAATAAACATTTTTATATAAATTTAAACATTTTTATTGAAATGACATCTATCCAAAAATTTTACTGTTCGCATTTACCGCAGCCGCGCTGGCAATTACATCTAAAATTGCCTCTGGTAACCCGATTGACATTCAATTTGTTACAGGTTTTGAAATAGAGGAAATCGGACATAAAAGTTTTGGATTCATCAGAATATCGCATTTTTATATCTTATTTTGCGTTATGACATTAACATGAAACGTAACTTCAAAAACGTGACATCTAACAAATTATTAGTAATCGACGTTCATTTTTGTTGGTAATTTTTTGTTTCAACTGATTTATTAATAATAAATAAGGATGGTGTTATTCTAAATGGGTATTAAAAATACTATATCTACGTTGCGCAGAAAATGTAATATTTAATAGAAATATGAAATATTGCATATCAGGTTCTGTTTTTTTAATAAACTACACTTACCGGCACGAAAATCGGGCACCTTAAAAATTTGATGTATTTTAAAGTTTTATACCGGGTGAGTCTCAAAAGTGACTCACCCCTATAACTTTTTTATTATTTGAGATAAAAATACGAGATTTGGTATGTTAGCATATGACATAAATTAGGATTGATTGACGTATTCAGTTGTTTTTGGTCACTTCCTGTCTCACCGGAAATGACTACAACTTGTGATTTGAAGAATGCATTTTTCTCAAAATGTTAATAATAAAAAAGTTTTCCCTCTTGTAAAGACAATCTGGGGACATAGGTACTGTATATTAATTAAAAAAATAATATGTTTTTTAACAATCTTTCCATATATTTTATTTCAACTTCACTAAACACAATACTGTAAATGATAAATGTAGCGCATCCTACCGTAACCACCGTAATAACAAGGCCCGACAGCTTATTCGTGACGTCATCAACTGGAGGCCTAAACTTGCAAGTTCTGCTTGGATCAGTTGGTGGATCTTGTTGCTTGGATTGTTCTGCAAGGATCAGTTTGCCAGTTCTCTAGTAAAACATACGTCGTATTTTACTCATTAAAACAATATTTTATTACTTCAAGCTCAACCTGTTACTCGCCTCAAGTTAATAACTTTAATATTGAACACAGATAAAAGTTAGAAATTTTTTATTATTTTCATTGCATTTTAAAGAATTTCGTAAATAACAAGCATGACTAATAATTTGATCAGTATTACTATCAGGGTTCGGAAAACTACATGTTACTCTTAAAAACTACATAAACTATATTACATGTAGTAAATCGATGTGGAGGGTGTAGTTTATGTAACTTTCAAATATGAAAGGTTTGAGGTGAGGTAAAAGATAAGCAAAAGCTTTAGAAAATACATATAAATATATTTGAGAAAACAGAAGAAATATAGCTTTAAATATAATATTCACATCTTATTATTTAGACCCCTCATAAAACGGAAAATTATTAAACTGATGACCATATCATAAATCAGGTTGAAAAATACCATATTATCGAAACAAAAAAACGGCGCGGCGTCTAGTTGGCTTGGAAATGATCATCGATGACACAGTCCCCATATAATTTTACATATAAAATGACAGCGATCATTTCATAGCCATCGCTGACGCCTTTTTTTTTCGATCATATTGTACTTTCTACAAAGTCTTGACAAAAATTACTAACTAGGTGATTATCTTATAGATATTAAAATGTTTTCATATTTTATAATAATTTTAATATAATATTGTGTTAACCATTATATTCTGCTTTTTTATGAATGTATAAATAATTCTATACTTAAATAAAAAGCCATATGCATTGCATTATTTCTATCAAAATTAACCTACAGAATATTTTTTTCGTAATATCAATACGTAGTTTATTAAAGTAGTTTTTATATAGTTAATGAACGGGAAAAAGGTAGGTTTTGAAGAAGAACTACACGTACGTAATCAGGTAAATTACGTCTTAATTAACTACTTCCGAACCCTGATTACTATTAGCTTTGTAAAACAAGTGAATAAAGGAATCAAGGAATAAACTATCAATTTCATTTATAATAAATCTTTCAAATGGTGTTTTTAGTTCATTTACCTGGACTGTAGTATTTTGGCCATATAAATAGATTTCTAATTTCAGATCTAAATGTATGTATTTAATAATTAAAAAAAGCCGGATTTTTCATCTGTATATGTGATAAACCAAAGAATACTTTCCTTTTATATTATTGTGAACTTAAAATATTCCCTTATTAAATTTGATTGGTAAAAAGTGAGAGATAAACATTTATTGACTGGTATGATTTTTTTCGTATTCTATTAAAACTATTTTTATATACTATAATATTTTTAAAAACTCGGAAAAAACATTTTAAAACTTCGAAATATATCTGGTGAGTGAAAGAAAAAGATCCACAATTTGAACTTTTATCGGATAATTATCAACGCTGCTAAATAAAGTTGAGCCTCCAGTTGGTGACGTAACGAGATTTTTACCTCGCAGCTGTTCGGCCTTGTTATTACGGTGGTTACGATCCTACATGGTCTTCGCCAAAAACAAAACATCAAAACTGACCTATATAATATTATACTATTATACTAGGTCACTATTACTCCAGATAATCAATAAAACCAGACAAAAATACATCGTTTACTCATTCTAAACTTGTTCGTTGGTTAATTTTTAATATAAAAACCTTCCGCTGTACAGTAACTATTCGTTTGTTTGTGGAAAAAAATCTGCCTGAAACCACTCACGCAAGCTAAACTGCTCTAAAACCGGACGTTTTACCGTAGACATTATATTTGCAGAGCGAAGCTCTTTGTTCTTTTCGCCGCGGACTATTTTTGCTTTTTATTATTCGGGCCTGGAACAAAACTGAGTTTAAAGAACGGCAGTCCTAGTTAACGTATTCAACTCTTTATCAGAATTTTATTAAATGAGAAGAAAACATTAAAAAATACTTTTTAAATGCAAAGGTACTGTAAAAAATAAAACGAAAACCTAATATTAACCAAGTGGAAATAAACTAGACTCACCGGCATGAAAAAGGGGCACCTTAAAATTTTCATGTATTTTTAGTTATTTTTTGTACAAGACGATAAAATGGTATTTTATCATCGACCGAAAAGATTAGTTCACGAACGATGAAATCGCGAGTGACCGGAAATGACTACAACTTTTGATTTTTAAATGGCACCCTCGGTATTTTTTTACTTAAAATAATAATAATATAAATAAATAAATATATATAATAAATGACTATAAATCCAAGGTTTTTTTATCTGAAAAAATAAAAAAGTTATAGGACTGAGCCACTTTTGAGGCCCACCCGGTATAGTTAAAATCTTTGCATAAACTTCCCATTCTATCAATCCACTACCTTAATTTAAATTTATACTGCTCTGACAGGTATACAAAATCAATTTTTACGCATCTATTTATTTGAAAGAAAAAAGGAAATGCGACGATCTAATTTTGATTTTACAACGCATTATAACAATGTTATTATACGCCAGTTATAAAATGTTCTGCTCTAATTCTAATGGTATCGCGCTTTATTATGGTAACCTGAACTTGGCGGATTACCCAACGTTCGATTCATTTCAGCCCAACCGATTTGTTTACGGAAAACAAATAGCGATTTCATGGGCGTCCGTATGATTTTTTTTTCAATTAGAGTGAGATTTTTTCTCAATGGGGTTGTGATTTTTTCTCAATAGGGGTGATGTTTTTTTCTCAATGGCGTGAGATTTTTTTCTTAATGGGGGTGAGATTTTTTTCTCAATAGAGGCGATATTTTTTTCTCAATGGGGTGGGATTTTTTTCTCAATGGGGTGAGATTTTTTCTCAATGGAGGTGAGATTTTTTTTTTCAATGGGGTGAGCTTTTTTTTCTCAATGGGGGTGAGATTTTTTCTCAATGGGGGTGAGATTTTTTCTCAATGGGGGTGAGATTTTTTTTTCAAGAGAGGCGACATTTTTTTTTCAATGGGGTGAGATTTTTTTTTTCAATAGGGGTGATATTTTTTTCTCAATGGGGGTGAGATTTTTGCTCAATAGGGTTGATATTTTTTTCTCAATGGGGTAAGATTTCTTTCTCAATGGCGGTGATATTTTTTTCTCAATAGAGGCGACATTTTTTCTCAATGGGATGAGATTTTTTTCTCAATGGGGTTGTGATTTTTTCTCAATAGGGGTGATATTTTTTTCTCAATGGCGTGAGATTTTTTTCTTAATGGGGGTGAGATTTTTTTCTCAATAGAGGCGATATTTTTTTCTCAGTGGGGTGAGATTTTTTTCTCAATGGGGTGATATTTTTTCTCAATGGGGGTGAGATTTCTTTTTTCAATGGGGTGAGCTTTTTTTCTCAATGGGGGTGAGATTTTTTCTCAATGGGGTGAGATTTTTTCTCAATGGGGGTGAGATTTTTTTTTTCAATGGGGTGAGCTTTTTTTCTCAATGGGGGTGAGATTTTTTCTCAATGGGGGTGAGATTTTTTCTCAATGGGGGGTGAGATTTTTTTTTCAATATGGGTGATATTTTTTTCTCAATGGAGGTGAGATTTTTTTCTCAATAGGGGTGATATTTTTTTCTCAATGGGGTAATATTTTTTTCTCAATAGAGGCGATATTTTTTTCTCAATGGGGTGAGCTTTTTTTCTCAATGGGGGTGAGATTTTTTCTCAATGGGGTGAGATTTTTTTTTCAATAGGGGTGATACTTTTTTCTCAATGGGGGTGAGATTTTTTTCTCAATAGGGGTGATATTTTTTTTCTCAATGGGGTGATATTTTTTTCTCAATGGCGGTGAGATTTTTTTCTCAAGGGAGGCGATATTTTTTTCTCAATAGGGTGAGATTTTTTTCTCAATGGGGGTGAGATTTTTTCTCAATGGGGTGATTTTTTTTTCTCAATATGGGTGGTATTTTTTTCTCAATGGGAGTGAGATTTTTTCTCAATGGGGTGAGGTTTTTCTTCTCAATGGGGGTGAGTTTAATATGCCTAGGACCTAGCCGAAATAATGAGTAGTTTATCAGACAAACAGTCAAAAGGTTCTCTAATTTAATTCGATTTCTTTGATATCATAACAGTTAGTAATTATAAAGATAATCGATCAGTTCCAATTAGCCCGGAATAGGCCATAGTAAATAGGCATTTAATTTAAACATATAACAAACCCATAAACCACTTATTCGTCAATTTCCTTACTACTTTTTCGGCGTATCTAATCGAAAATCTGAATTATTCGCTCGTTTTAACTTTATTGGGTCCAAAGCTAAAATCTTGCCGTTTACGATCCTTATCGGGAAACGTGATAAAGTTCTCATTATTTCGGCACGAATCGAACATAAATATGTAGCAAACGGCTTAGAATCATTAGAGGAAATCTCTCATGGGCGTACGCAGAGAAGGGGCAATATGAGCCTTTTGGCTAAGATCAAAATGTAGTATCTGTTCTGAGGCAAATTGTGTCCAGTGAACTTATATTGATTCCTAAATTTCGTAGTAGTTTTATGTATGTATTGGGACACCTTGTATATCATTAACGCCTGTTAGACGAATAAAAAATCCACCTTATTTTTGGAGTTTATACGTGGTGTTTGATATCATCATTAAAAGCTATTTATTTTCAATGGTATGGTTATGTTACTGAACAAATATGCGTAGAAAATGTCATCCCTGTATAGGGTCGCCAGGTTTCAATTTTCAAAAAGCGAGGCATTATTCGCATGCAAAAAAGCGCCCCAAGCAAAGTTTTTTGTACAGTTTCAAAATGATTAATTAAAAAATCGCCTAGTAAAATATTTGTTTTATAAAATATTTTCGCGAAATAATTTTCCGGATAAAATTTCCATGAAAAACGGGATAAATTTGAAAATTAATGAAGAAGAAATTAAATTAGTTAGACATTTATTTTTATTTTTAATTTTTCTTTAATAAAAATATAGATATACCTACCTATCTAATTATTTTTATTATTTCAGGTCATGCAACTGGTTGTGGTATAAACGACGACATAATGGAATGGATGGATAAAATCCAAAATTCTGCTTCCCCAGACAGTGTTTCAACGACACCGCCAGATGCTACAAAACAGAAACCGAAAAAGCATAAAAAGGTCCCATCATCAAACTCAAACAATATAATCAAAGACAAACAGAATCAACATTACAATAAAGACAAACTACCAAAACCACCGCCAAACTATGAAGACGGATTTAATAAATATTCGAAGGAAGCTAACCAGGCACATTCGAGAAATAAAAGAGCTACACGAAGAGATGAAAACAAGAATACCTGTTCGTTGTACATACAAACAGATCCTCTAATTTGGAAGCATATCAGGGAGGGTTTTCCTGAGGTAAGCATTAAGGTTCCAACTTTCAGTAAAATTTTACGCCACAAAAAGTGTCATTTTTACTCCTAATAAAACAATATACTATTATATGGACCCAGTGTTAAAGACATTAATTTTGAATGATATTCTCTAGTAGTATAGGTATCATTCTATAGTCTATAAAATGAATAACTTTAAATTTTGACCGTTATTTTTTACCAACATGTCAAATATAAAATCCCTCTGTCAAAAAAGTTACTGATATTCTTTAAATTGAGTGCCTGAACGAATCAGATAGGTAACTCTTTTTACTTTCGTGAAATAGAAAAGGAAAATAATAAAACGAGTGACAGTTCTTCCTCTTCTTGCAAAAATCAACACGAAATGTCATAATTGACAAAAGTAAAATGTCATCAGCTTTTGACACTTCTAAATATTAGACCAATGCCGTCTCTAATAGAACAGCCACGGAGCGAGATTTATGACGTCACGCTAGTTAGATACTACGGATTAATAAATATGTTGTAGAATACATGGAAAACATAATTATTCCTCGTATGTTTGGTTTGTATTTTAAAAATGATATAGTTTACATGAAATATACATAATATACAGTTAATAAATACAATATAATATACTTAGATTAAGAAGATAATATATACCTATTTATTGTAATAAATACTTTGGCAAATAAACTATGAACCATACAGATGCAGCAAATGTTTTACAATATACAAATAATGTGGTACATAAGATAATGCGTAAAATGTAAAATATATTTTAAATTTTGGGGTTTGAAAATCGATCAAATTTAACAAAAAACATTCAATATCTACTAATAGTGATGTATTATTATTTGCAATCACAACATTTATTTATATATTATAATGTTTACTGCAATTAATAAACTAATATAAATTTGTCAAAAGATGACCACATATTTTTTAAAATTATTATTCTTAACACAAAAACTTTCTACACTGACTATGGAGTACGATTTCAGCCATATTTTAAAACATTTGCTGCATTTGTATGGTTCATAGTTTATTTGCCAAAGTATTTATTACTATAAATAGGTATATATATTGTATTTATTAACTCTATATTATGTATATTTCATGTAAACTATTTCATTTTTAAAATACAAACCAATAATACGAGGAATAATTATGTTTTCCATGTAGTCTACAACATATTTATTAATCCGTAGTATCTAACTAGCGTGACGTCATAAATCTCGCTCTGAGGCTGTTCTATTAGAGACGGCATTGCGTCAGCATGGCCGCAAGTTGCTAACCTAATAAAATTAACACTAGAAAAGCCCGCGGGAACTGTCAAATTCAAAGTTATTCGTTTTACGGACTATATCACAAGTTTTTCAGCAATAATATTTTTTTCTTTGAATTGGCATTTTTAAACCCAATAATGGTATCCAATAAAAATGCTATAAAATCATAATTTTAATGTACTCTTTCTACTATAAAACTAACTTATATTACACCAAATTTAAAAAAATAAAGATCTGACGAAAACCCATAAACCAAACGATAATCTCTTGAGGGTCTTTCTGAGTTGGTTTGCGGCGTTATAATGTTATTTTTCTGACTTCTTAGTGCGGGATTATATCGGATATTTTTACAATCCAGTTTCAATTATAGACATAAAATTCGTTTAATGAATGATTGTAGAAGTATTTTCTTCGTTTCATTAAATTTTGATAAACGACTTCAATCTAACTTTTAGCTTTTTATTAGTTCCCGAAGTGTAAAGATGATTGATGATTTGAAAAAATTGAACATAAAAGTAAAGCTAAATTAAGTTCTACGGTTTAAAGCTGAAAATGCAATAAGAAGATAATTGATGATCAACTGAGGGTTAGTTTTTACTTTCGTTAAGTATATTTTTGTATCACAACTAGTTGAAGCCTGGCGCATCCGCCACGACACACAGTGCTTCGTCCTATGGACAAAAATAAAAAAATAAGTTAAAATTTACTAATATCTAAATATATAATTTTATACTTATAGCAATGTTCAATCATCCTGTATATTGTTTTTCATAAACAGCGTTTTTGTTAGCAAATATTTTCACTAAAAATAAATTTTGCGATCATTATCTCATCAGTGAAAAGAATAACATTCATAGTAGTTCTGTATATTATGGAGTTAAACGGGTACGTACTTAATTGAAAGCCACTATGGATATTGTTAAACAAGGTATGTACTTTAAATTTATTTCTAAACAAGTTCGTGATTGTTTAGTTTTTATTTATTTTTTAAGATGATTCTTAAATGGGCATAAAAATTTTACGTTTTCAAACTTCAAAAAGGCATTTAAAAAACATATCAAAACATATCGTATTTATTGAATATTTTTGTTGCCATATTCATACACTTTTAATTTTTGTATAGTTCACCTGCGTCTGCTTGCGACGAACTTTATTTTATAATACTTTTCAGATCGAGTAAAATTGATAAGCAATGCCGATCTGGCTAATACTTGGCTTGATCATGGACAAGAACTCAAAATTATTTGTATTTCAAAAAATATGTTCTTATTAAATATTGATGAACATTCCAGTCAAATGAGACACCACTTGTGCCTGAAAAAGTCCACTATGTTGGAGCGAAACGTCGCATAAAAAAAGTGTCCATCTTTCAATTTATTATAAAATCTCATACCCAAGAAAAGGAAAAAATAATATATGGATATGGTCTATTAAAGAGGTAACTATTAACATCCGAACCCCTCATACCGACAAAATGAACAGTAACAACGCGAAAAAGTAACATATTAGAAAATGATGTACAGAAATATCTTATATGTGAGGATACTTCATCTACCTGTGATTTGGATACTATAAATTTGGAAGATTCTGTCAGCAGTGATTCTCCTGAATCAGAGTAGTTACGATCTATGCATTTTGTTGTCCTAAAAATAAATTTATAGTATCTTAAGTTTTTTTTTTAATTAAATATAACATTAATGTTTCTTTTTCATTAAAGAAAAACATTTTTATCTTATATTAGGCTTATATTGTAGGAATCATGTTCTAATGTTATTTCAATTCTTTTTTATCACAGGAATTTATTTAATACTTGCACCGTTTTCATACTATAACTTATTATTTGCTTAGATGGAACACACAGCTCCAACATTATTATTATTTATAAGATTTTTTTTTCATAAACGTGGGACAAAGAACATCATCATTTAGTACAATGAGAGTACTCATCATTTGTGTCAAATAAACCTAGTTTGAATAAATTGCTTACAATAAAAGAGAAGTTTTGGATTTTTGTCCTCAAGAGCCATATGTTCGAAGCACTGTGCGACATCGGGAAAAAAATACTTTTTTTTAATTAAATGAAAAACAAAATATCCGGCGACGACAGTTTTTAGAAGAGCCAATTAGCTATCTTTTAGTAAAAAAAGCAACTTTCTAGAGCAAGTCGTTACTTCAGTAAAGACGACACAGATAAACATTAGTATTTTATACAAGCCCTAACAACTATATGTTGGGACAAGGTCATATTTTGGAATTATTGCCCTGGTTTTTCAAAATGACTGAAAAATATATGTTTAATTTTTTAAATATAAACGTAGGCATATATCCTAAACAACTTGACAATATTTTTATGAATTTGTAAATCAATCCATATTTACAGTAGCGGATTTTGTTCATAAAAGAACAAATTTGCTGACAACTAAATGTTGGGACAAGTATTTTTAAATAGTTAATATCATCATAGGCGGCTTGTCTACAAACGTCACAAATGTCGCAAACTGGTTACTTCAGCATTGACAGCTTGTAAGTGACTCGATACTTTGAGTAGTGAGATTTACTGTAAGTAATTTTAATTTTTTTAATTTTCAATTCTGTTAATTTATTTCAAAGTAATGGTCCGTGGAAAAGCTACAAATCAAAAACTACGCGAAATTATCATTCGTCAATACAGTACGGGAAAAACAATTCGAAAAATTTCTGATGATTTAAGTATTCCAAAAACCACGGTCTTTAATATAATAAAAAAAAACGGCGAATCTGCCAATGTAGACGTTAGAGGTAAATGTTCGGGAAGGCCATAAGTTGTATCTCAGAGAGATTTACGAAATTTAGTAAAAATTTGCTAGTCTGCGAGAAGAAGTACTCTTCGCGAAATAATAGTTAAATGTAATACTCTGTAACTGGTTTAAATATATCAAGAGAATGTTGCCGAAAATATATCCATAAATGCGGTCTGGGGTTTTACAAGGTAAACTTTATTTTGTGTGAATAATCAATTACGTGAAGATTATTGATACAAATTCTTATTTAGGCCAAAGAAAAACCGCTACTGACAGAAATTCAAAAGAAAAATCGCTACAATTGGGCGAAATCTAAATTATCGTGGACACAAAATGATTGGAATAAGGTCATATTTAGCGGGATATATATTTAACTAGATATTGTGGTTCTCTAGAAACTTCTAATGCACGCTCAGCCTGGGACACCCTGTAGATGTAGTAATATTTTGTTTTAATGGCCATAGCTGCCAGGACTATCCCGGCGTTTTTTAATAAAAATTAAAAAAAAAAACATAAAATTATGAAGTTAGAATAGTATACGGTTTAACTATAATTTTTTTGAAGTTATTATGGTGTCTCTCGGTTATATGTTGGTGTCTCTTTCAGAGAAATATGTTTGTGGTTATCAATTCAAAATTTGTTAAGAAAATGTCCATTTTGAATAATAAGTTTAAAAAATTAAAAAGCTCAAAAAACAAACATGTTTTCCAAAGAGACATAAACATAGTGGAAAATCTTACAAAAGAGCTCAGTTTATTAAACAAAAGGTTTAAAGTATGCATTGCCCAACTCTGGTAGCGCTTTGGAGGAATCGTCGTTGGTGTTGAAACTGCTATTCAGCACTTGCGAGGCTTCTAAGGTATTTACAAGAGAGGCTTGTAGAAATCAGTTATCAAAAAATATTGTTTCAAGTAATTCATTAAAATCTAAACAAAGAGCACAATATTGTCAGAGTTTGCGTAACAAAAGATTGTTTCTATCTAAAAGCTGATAAAAAAATAAGGTTGTTATATTAGATAAAAAAGACTATTACGATAAGGTTAACAACATCCTCGATAGTAGCCCCACCTAAATTTTATAGAAACTCCCTTGCATAAGATGGTAGCAGACGTTAAAAAAACTCTCAAAGAACAATTTTTTGATTTGCTTTCTTTAAAGAGGAAATTGCAAATAATCCAATCCCACATTACCAAAATTGTATGCTTTGCCAAAATTCATAAACCATGACAAGTCTATAAACAAATTGTTTGCTGTAGGTTCTCCGACTATATATTTGGCAAAATGGTTATCTTGATTTTCGAAAATTAAACTGATCATGAACCTTCTTTCTTTGCAGTTAAAAATAATATTGAAATTATCTAGACAATATTGTAATGTTTGAATTTAGAATAATAAACGGAATAAATGGAGTCGTTTTAACAAATTACTATTTTTATTGCAAATCGACAACAAAACTGTGAGTGAATATACTGAGCTTACATCGTTATGTATGAAACAAAATTGTTTTCAATTTAATAACAACTTTTTGAACAGCGGAAGGTATAGCAATGGGTAATCCATTATCTCCAAGATATCTAATTTATTCATCAGGTAAAGAGTGGAGACCAGATATCATTTTGAGTATTTTCCTTTTAAACTGGTTTAGGCAGGGATGTATTTTTGCTGTTTTTGATAACATTCAACACCATAGATAATTTTATTTCTGACAGTTAAATAATCGTCTTCCTTCCATTAAATTTACAAATGAAATTGATAAAATCGACAGATTACGTTTTCTAGATATAAATTATTAAAAATACTAATAATTGCCTGGAATTTGATATATAGGAACATGTACGACCAAAAGTAACGATATTCTAATAAATCACATCATAGTGTGAACATAAAATGTGGGTTTAAATTTCTTAAAAATCATAGATTATGATAGTTTCCCACTTTCCAACGAAAGATATGAAATAGAAAGAGATTATATGACATTTTAGCTGAGTGTAATTTTTACAAATAGATAGCCACAGGTCTTCTCTTTATGTCACAGTGGCTGTGGTAATCAATAAATTTGATTCAGGCTATGCAAATTTTTTTTGTCAGGTAGTTTTTTCAAGTTCAAAATTTTAAATATGTTTTTTCTCGAAACCGTTTTAGATATAGAGTATTTAATCTCAAAAGGAATTCTTAAAATGTCAATTAGAAACTTGTGTATGTTATAATAATAATGGGGGCAATTATTTAGTAAATAAGATAAAACACCTCAACTGGAAGGTCGATTTCCGGAAGTGAAATTTCTTGTAAATATTTTTAATCAGAAATATGTCGGGCAAAAAAGATCAATATTATAGATTCAAAGAACATTTAGCTCGATCTAGATATGGTAGACCCGATAAACTTCTAATGCGTTCAGCCTGGGACACCCTGATAATGAACATAATAGATCTTAATAATTTAAAACTATAGCTGCCAAATCTCAAATTACGGCGTTTTTTAATGCATATGAAAGCATCAGAATTAATAAATGTAAAGATAGTATGAACAGAGTCAACGGTCCAATTCCTTCAAGTTCTTTGTTCCTACTACTCTAGTGGCGGAAATCTAACTGTTACGCTCAGTTGGCTCTTACTCGGTTGGCTAGATTTTGCCACGCCCACTCGGGGCCCACTGAGCGAGTTATATAAACGCTCACCTTGTAGATTGTACTTTAGTTTATAATCATTTGCTGATGATGCTAACATGGTTAGCGAAACGCGCGTCCAGTGTAAAAGTAAAAGTGTTTTGGTGTATTGTGGTGATTTAGTGTTTTTATTTTGCTATTATTAAGCCTTCATAAAAAATACTTATATATTCTTCAAACCTTCATTTTAATAGCTGGTTCACTGTTTGTTTTTTCAAACGGAACACTGGTTCTGGAGCTTCTTAAAATTCTCTCTCGAAAAGTTTGCTAGCTCTTCTAGCTCTTAGAGTAACAGGGTGCAAGGTTTCTCCCCTTTTATTATTCTGTCAGGCTTGAATAAATTCCAAAAACCCCAGTTTGGGCTCTCCTACTATAAAAAAACAATTCATTCGATTGCAAAAAGAATTCGTTTTGTTGCGAAAATTTAAATATATTATTTCTATTGTGCTTAAACATCAATTTATATAAAATTTTATTTGTCATGTACACATTTCATTAGCACATCGGCCCTACAACACATTAAATTATTTTAATGCAAATGGCACAAATTGCATCTTTTGTTATATCTGTTTTTTATATAAAAGTCGATGTCGCTTATTTTCATTTTCATTCGCATTTGTTTTATTTTAATTAACAAATTGGCTTCCTCTCAGCATGCACGTTCTGTTTCGATGAACGATTTTTTTCAAAAGGATTGTTGTAAATTAGTAACTAATGTTAGGAAAATGTTTTGCAATATTTTGTTTAAACAATACAGTGGCCTCATGTTACCTGATTATTATATGAAGCAACAATTGTTTATGAATACAATAGTGTACAATAGAAAAATGTAATATTACATTTTTATTACCGTTTAATGTAATATTTATATTTTTGGTGAGTTGATTAGTGAAAAAACTGGGCCGATTTTTGCTGAATAGGATATACAGGGCGAGTATTAAATAAGTGGAAATATTTTTAGGGCTAGTATATTTCGACCCCAGAAACACGATTATGTGTTTTTTTCGCTAATTTTTTTTATGAAAATTTGGTATTTTTTTGAAAAGAATTTTGGAAATTTTTTACATTTTTAGTTATAAAATATAATTTCTTGACAATACGGCAACATGGGTAGTAGATTAAATTAACAAGAAAGAAAATCCAGAAAAGATCCAGTTGTTCCCAAAATTTTAGCAAAAAATAATTTTTAGGGAATTTTCAAAGTAACAAACTGGGTTATTTTGGATTTATTTGAAAAACGGCAAAGAGAAAATATGTTTCTTTTATCGAGATCTACCAGCCCTGAAAATATTTGCACTTCTTTAAGACTCACCCTGTATATCTTTAGGGTTAATCCAGAGAAGCGAACTCAGAAATCCGGACAAAATCAGCACGTCGCAAAAAAGAAACTATTAGGTATAGGATGTAGATTATTTATGAACTATTATAGGATGCAAATAATAGCACAATCAATTAACAAAATATAAACCAAAAAACATTCACTTTTCAGAAGTGCACCAAAAGCAACACTTCGGCGCCAAAGTATAGAAATGGGTACTTTCAAACATGCGTCAGTTAAGTAGAGCTGTAGCATCGTAGAGACTAAAATATTCAACAAAGTAACTGAGAAATTAATTCAACTGTAACTGTAAAGTATTTTAGTAAGTCAAATTGTTTTCGCGGTCAGGTTTCCCGGACTCTTTTCCAAATAAGAGCTGGACCTATTTTTTCTCTAAATATAGGGAAATTTCTCGTCCATAGCGACCTACCTTATGTAAATCTTATAACATAGGATATATGTAAATTCCCTAAATCTACTGATTTTTATAAATTTGGCAACGCCGGAATTGGAGTCGGTATTTTACTCTCCATTTTTTACTACTATTATAAACTATCTACAATACCTACATTACCCGAGCCATTACATTAAGGCCCTTTTCAACAGCCAACTACCCTTGTGTGGTAGTAAATATTTGATTATAAATTTTCTTAGTAAGTATTTTAATGTTTTTAATGTTTTTTTTTCAGCACACTGACCCAAAGAAGGAAAACGAAGTGAACGAGAAAACTAGAGAAGAAATATTATCGTTGATTGCTCATCATGTCACTGCCGTTAATTACATTTATCGTGATACTAAATTCGATGGCAAAAGCGAACATCGAAATATTAAATTTGAAGTTCAAAGAATCAAGGTAAGGTTTTTATTACCGATTTTGTATAGTTTTTTAAAGATGATATCACAAAACTACCTTAAAAATTATTAAAACTGTATATGTACTCCAAAAATGCATCTACTTTCTTAATCACATTTGCATTACTAAAAGTTACAAGATATTATCGTTCATTGAAGAAATAAGAAGATGCGCCAAGAACGGTAAACTAATAGGATTGCTGGAAGACGTACGTTCGCCTCTTCCCGCGCTTCAGCTGACAGTTGTGACGTCATTGTAGTCCTTGTCATGATAGTGTGTATTATTGGTTGCCTATGGTAAACTAATAAAAATAACGGCTGAGAAATTTTGAGTTAATTAATTTCTCGAATTTATAATGAATGTTTTGCATACGGCAACCAATAATACACACACTATCATGACAAGGACTACAATGACGTCACAAAGCGAACAGTTTTCGTATGTACCTGGCAGACATTTTCGGCTGAATGAGCAGTCCTATTAGGTTCTTGAAGATTCTCAACCTTATGGGCGATTTCGTGGCACAAAATATGTCCTAGATGTAGCTGGCGTTATCGTCAGCCTATCCGAGATTTAGTTAAGCTCTGCGCCGCGCCGCAGCGCGCTGATAGTTGTTTACAGCGGATAAAGAATACTGTATCGTAGTTCTGCTTTTCGTCGACAGAGTGAGTGGTTGCCGGAGACAGTGTTGCCAGAACTAGGGATTAATCCGTAGATTTACGGATTTTGGATACAGTACGGTAATAATAGGGATTTTCTATCATTAAAGAATTTAATGTAATATTATGTGAATAAACAAAGAACGCCGTCAGAGTTGGCTTTAAAATGAAGATCCCTGTTATTTCATATGTTAAATATTATGGTAAATGTCAATAACCCATCATTTATAAGCTAATTAAACCATTTTTTTCGATCATACGAAATATTCAATACTTATAAAAGAATTTTTGTTGTTTATCCTATGTTTAACACGAATAAATTTTCAATACATAAACGCGGATTTTTCATCCAAAGAGATTTTCGTCAAACTTATTACAGATATTACACATTTTAATATGGAACACTGCCGCTTTCAGATCCACACCGTCTTCGAAATGCCTTCGCTGGCCGAACTAGAGAAAATAAGTGTTTTATGCGTTAGTCGCAGAATGATTGGTGGCTCCACCGTATTTCGCCCATTAGGTTGGGTATCTTCCCAATTTCAACAAAATTCCTTCTATATTATTATAATAAAACAATAGTAAATCTTAAATAAGTTTTAATATACCATGTTTAGGTTTATAAATATATAAAATTAATTATATTTGTACTATGTATTTCTTTTTAGATCGACGATGACTCGTCTTGCAAATGCGCCCATCACCACTGCGGCGAAATGAACCAATTTTGTTTAGAAAATATCGATGTCAGTAACTTTTTAAACATACATTCCTTAGGAAACCACGAAGACTTTTGTTTAGCGTATGTGTTTACGTATAGAGACTTTACTGGAGGCACATTGGGCTTGGCATGGGTAGCTAGTGCATCCGGTGCTTCAGGGGGTATTTGTGAAAAATTCAAGACTTACACTGAAACTGTAGGTGAGTAGAATATCGGAGAATCTAATTTGTTTTAAAAAATAACATATATCTTCCTCAACTAGAATTTTCGGTAATATCACAATAGTAACGTTTCTGTGGTATTGTGAAATATTCTCACAAACCTAAAATAAGGTTTCAGATAACCTCGTCTCAACATTGCTCTGTAATGTTTCTGATGAGAGGATTAGGAGTACCACCTAGCTTGATTTGAGAAATTGTGATAATGTTGTTGCATTAAATTTTTAATTGCTATTTGTTATTAAAATTGGTGTTACTATATACCTCTTTTGACAGACAAACTTTATACAAACACTAGCTGACTGGCAAACGTTGTGTTACGTTTTTTGTCGGTTCCGTGTGGTTAGAAAGCCTAATTTTTTTAAACACAATTTCTGTCATAGTCGCCGTGGAATGCTACGTCACGCGCTGACCAGCGCTCCACAGTGCGGCGGATGGTTATTCTAGCGGGACAAAATCTCAAGAGCAATGTTTGGGACTTAAAATCTAAGAACGTAGCAAATGGTCTAATATATAGGAACTATATGGTTAAATTTATTTATTTATTAACAACTTAATTTATTAATAAGTAAATACAAGATAATAAAACTATGATATTATTCGTACATGACACACAAAAACGTATTGTAAACTATTGCCAAATACATAAAATTATGATATCAAAAAACTCTTTAGCAGTTTTTTTTTTAATTAATTTGTAATCTTGTGACACCCTCTATAATGTATTTAAAAAAAATATATTTTATTTTGAAAATAATAAGTAAGATAGATATTTTAATTTTAATTTTAACACTCGGTAATTGTAAATTCATATATAGTAAGTATCTAAGACAATTTTTTAAACTCAGTGCCTTTTGATGGAGTTGTTTTGTTTTTATACTATCCGATTGAAATGAATCTTTTTGGGCATTGACCTGTTAAGCTTGAACTCCCTGTGACTGTGACTACCTGTGTTGGTAACTATTTGTAACTCAAAAGATCTACATCATTCAATATATCGATATTTGAAAAAAAAGTGAAAGTTTGATATCTGCAGAACAAAGGCACGAAGGATTTTAACAAATAATATACGTACAGTAGAAAAGTACATACCTTTGGCAATCTTCAACATAATTTGGCTTTCTAATAAAATGTATAAGCACTTGTAAATATTTTGTTTTCGTATGATTTCTGCCTTGCTGAGCAGAAAACGACCAAATTAGGTTGATAAAAATGTATCGAAATACAAAGAATATTCATGCATTTTTGTATCAATTGGAATGTCTACTATTTATTCTTATCAGTACACATTTTTTGGCTTATTTCTAACCAAACGCTTTTGTCCCGCTAAATTTATCTTCCAAGGCACTGTGCGCTCGTCCGTCAAATTCAAAAATAACTGTCACTGTCTAAAACCTTTAGCGCCAACTTCAACTCGGTCAGTAGATGACGTAAAAAAACTGACAGTGCAGGAAGATAGGAATCGAACTATCCTTATCTCTATAGTATCCTTGGGTAGCGGCCCCTTCAAATAGGAGTCATATTGACACCAAAAAGACATAAAGTTTCTCATGTCAAAAAAACTCCCAGAAACCAATTTTCATCTAAATAATATTGACGTTACTTCAGAAAATATTTGGAAAAAATTGTAATAAAAATGAAACTTCTACACCCTGTATCTCCGAAACTAAGCGTTTAGGACATAAATTTATAGGAACTTTTTTACTTATTTTTATCTACAGAATATACTGCCGAAATTTCCGGAATACAGTTCGGACCACCCTATACATATAGTATTCCGTACATACAGGGTGTCCTAGAAATAAGTGTAAGTAAATAGTATATTATACAAAATTTTAACTGGTAGTATAGTTCAACCTCAAAAACACGCCTATGAGGTTTTTTTCGCGAAAAAAATTGAAAAATAGGAATTTTTTTGGATTTTTTTTAGTTTTTAGTTAAAAAACATAATTTCTTGATAATATGGTAACGTAGGTAGTAGATTAAATTTACAAGAAAGAAAATCCAGAAACGATCCAGTGGTTCAAAATTTTAGCAAAAATCATTTATTTGTAAAATAACTCCGTTATTTTGGACTTATTTGAAAAACAATAAAGAGAAAATGCTTGCACTTATTTCTGGGACACCATGTATAAATGTGAAGAATTGCTTGTTTTAATTGCGTAATATTTTTTAGGCGGGCTTTATCAATCTACGAAGAGATCGTTAAATACCGGCATAATAACTTTTGTAAATTATAATAGCAGAGTTCCACCGAAGGTTTCCCAACTTACTCTCGCGCATGAAATCGGACATAACTTTGGATCACCGGTGAGTTTTAGCAATAAAAAGTTATAGCTCTTACTAAAAATGCGTACTATTTTAGCATGATTATCCTCCGGAGTGTCGACCAGGTGGTTTAAATGGCAATTTTATAATGTTTGCCTCAGCCACAAGCGGCGACCGACCGAATAATAGTAGATTTTCAAGCTGTTCTATCGGAAATATTAGCAACGTGTTGGATGCCATTGAAGACAGCAAAAAGCGAAATTGCTTCACTGCCTCTGCTGGTAAGAAAATTATTGTGATTATGTACTTTCAGAAATAATGAGTCAATTTTTATGTTGAAAATATTTTCAATTATTTTTATTTCTTACATTGCAATTTTAAAATGTAAATTTTTGTATAGGTGCGTTTTGTGGAAATAAGATTGTTGAGGCTGGAGAGGAGTGCGACTGTGGATACGATGATAACGAGTGTCAGGATAAGTGTTGTTATCCCAGAGTTATCGGTATACAGGACAGACAAACAAATACAAGTGCCATTGGTTGTAGACGGAGGCGTGGAACAGAGTGCAGGTGAGGATAAATATATCTATTTTAATATTGGTATTGTATAAAAGAATTTTCTAAATCTAATTATAATAGAAATTAACAAATTAACGTATATCTTACACACATGGCCAAGATTATTGCATATATAACGATATTTCTATTTTATTTTGGACCTAATATGATTCTTTTTATATTTTTGGACATATTGGCTTACTACTAACCTTGTATATGAATTTTTAAAGTAGCTCAACCTAAGATGTTTATGGATGTAAAGCACCAGATGGCGGGGCGTATTTCACAGTCTTTTACTACAGAAAAATATTTTTTGTTACTCTGAATTTAGAAGCGGCCAATAAAAACAGAGAAAATAAAAATCGATAATTTTCGGACTGTGCCAATTGGTTACTAATCGACCAGATACTTTTTGTCTATTAGATATGCTATAAACGCTGGTAATTATACAATTCGACCATTGTAAATACCCGACAAATTTCGCAAGGCCGACGAAGCCGATGCTTTTCACTGATAAGAAAAAAAATGTTTGTTTAGATAATTTTCGAGATATTTTTTCTTTCTGAATGCACATTTTTTCAAGTATTTTATATTCTTTGTCCGCTTGATCTATTATACTGGTTGCACTTATCGAGGTTCTGTTTCTTCTAGTTTTAAAAAATGTTCTTATTTCTTTGTAGTTGTAGTGGTTGTAGTGTAAAATTAGATTAATTTTATTAAGTTTAATTATAATGTTTAGTGTAGAATACCAGAAATAGTTTAGTAGTGTTTTTATAGTTTATTATTTTGCAGTTAAGTAGTAGGTGAAAGGATAATTTGGTTATTTTTTTTCTTTTTGTTTGATTAATTAGTAAGTTTGATAATTTTTTCAGTGTAGAAGTGGTTGAAGTAGTGAAGAAGTAGTTGTGTAGTGTTTTTATAACAGATTATATTAGTTTATTTTGTAGATGAGTAGTAGGTGAAGGTATTTGGGTATTTTTTCTTTTTGATTTTCTTCTAATTGTAGTATTAAGTATTGTGATAGATACACTATATCTTCCTTCAACTTCGTTGAAAAGTGCGTTATCATATAATTTTGGTTTTCTGGTAGTAGAATATACGAAGAAAAAATCTGATCAAATTTATTTTAAATTAAATTAATCGAGTTTTATTAATCAAATTAATCTAGTCAAATAATAATAATAGTTAGTTTCTAAATACTAAACAGGGTGAGTTTCCTACGATGTTCTCTATGGGTATCTCGGAAACTACTGGAGATAGAGTCGGTTAAATGGGGAAAAAATTGCAGTTTTGTGGGGTCATAAATATGCGCCTTTCGGATTTTTCGGAGAAGTTCAAGGCTTACTAGATATTTCGAAAAAAACAAATTTTGGCTATTTTAAAACTTTGTCTCTAATTCCATTATAATCTACCGTATGATCGAATAAAAACGGCTTCAACAATGGCTATGAAATGGAGATCGCTGTCATTTTATACCTATATAAAATTATATGCCAAATATCATCGACAGTTTTTATTCGACCATACGGTACTTTAGACAAAAACTTTTCAGATAAAAGTTGTAGATAATCACATACCTAATGAGTTTGTGTTTTCTGTTTTTTTTCTAAAGCCTGTCATTTTTGACATATGACACAAACATTATGTTTTTTTTAAATGGAAACCATAGTTGGCCATGACTTCATAAAAGCGCCATTTTTAAGCTTTTCAGCGATATAGGTATAATATGTTTTTTCGAAAAATTACAAGTTATAGCCAATTCTTTTCTTTCTTGGCTAATTTCCATACAAATAATACCATGCCAATTAGTTGGCATGAAAAATGTAAAAAGTTTCATGTTTTCAAAAAAAAAATATCATAAAATTCGTAAAGCACTCAATTTAGAATAAAATAATCTAAGAATGAAATGATTCTTTTATAAACCTGCATTAAATCAAATTAAAATAGGTATGTAACTTTTTTTATATTTAATTAACAGCAATTAGCATTATCATAAATTATAAATAATGTACCAACATATCGAAATAATAATTTCTTTGTTAATACGGTTTAGAATTCTTAAAATAACAGGCAAAAATAATCCACAATTTACAATAAAATAAAAGTTTCGTTTAAATGTCTTAATCAGCTGATCATTATTAAAGTTCGCAGAAACCCTGGGCTATATTATTACATTACTCTGAGGAAAATAACGAAAATAATCGATATTTTTGACTCCGCCCCGAAAGGTTCACGATTTGTCCTCCAGTTGGCAGCACATTTTGTCTAGTCGGTTGGGCAACTTTAAAAATATATAAACAAGGCTACTAATGAGTGAAAATCAACAAAAACAAATTTCATTTTAAACAGAAAATATTGAAAACAATTTTAATTATTTCTCACAACCAATAGTCTGTATTGCCTCCTCGAGCCTCAATACATGCTGTGAGACGACGTGGCATGCTCTCAATTAAGTTGTCCAGAAGATGTTAAGAAATGGCTTCCCATGTTTCGCGCGAAGCAATTTTCAATTCATTTATGGTACGGGGGGGGGATCATTCCTGGCAATATGGCGTTTTAGCATGTCCCAAGCATGCTCGATCACATTTATATCTGGAGACATCGATTATACCCTCTTCCTCACAAAATTCGCGAACCGCTAAAGTGCGATGGGGAGGAGCATTATCGTCCATGTAAACAAATTCATCCTCCATTGCCCCTCGAAATGGACGCACAATAGGCTCTAAAACGTCTCTAAGATATGAGGCATTTCTGTTATTGTGCCATCAATAAAAACAAGAGGAGTTCAAGCTCCGTGCATTATACCTGCCCATACCATAATGCTTTCCCCTTCAAACGGGACACGGGGTTGTGCTGCATTCAAGCGTGCTCGTCTTCCAGATGCTCTTCAGACCAAACTTCGTCGCGAATCTGACACTAGGCCTATTCTTGTTTCATCACTAAACATGACGAAATTCCAATTAGGTCCATTTGGTCTCATCTCCTCAGCCCATTGTAGTCGCGTAATTTTGTGCTGTAAATTAAGCTTCGGAACACGGAGAGGCCTCCTTAAATGTAATCCTCTGTCATGGAGTCTTCCTGCTATGGTCTTTCTTGAAACATTTACTCCTTCAAGGCGAGCTAACTCATTTTTAATAGCGGTACTAGAAAGCATGGGATTACGTCGTGCAATTAGGGATATTTGACGGTCTTGCACAGCAGTAGTAACTCTCTTTCTAGCTCTTCCAGGCCGGTCTGTAACCTCGTTTGTCTCCCTGATTTTTTTTTAATATTCGCGAAACATCGCTTTGGTTAACTCCTACAATTTCCGCTATTGCAACTTGCCGGTAGCCCTGTTGAGACAGTGTTACTATTCTGACTCTATTAAACTGTGAAATAATGTTTCTAGGCATTTTAAGACCAAAACAATGGTCAAATTTCTTCTAAAACCCAAGAGACCACAAATCGAAATGTGCAAGAATTTGTAATAATATTGGGTCTGGACGATAAACATTGTTTACCATATCCATTTTAACAAAAAAAATGTTTATTACAGATTATCAAAGCTATGTATAAAAAAATATTTTTTAAGTTCCTTTCCGTATATTTTTAAACGATATAATACGCTATAATTTTGACCATGTGTGTATATTAAAATGTGTCAGACTTGTATCTGAATTCAGTAAATAACTGCTTAGTTAACCGAGTACCATTACAGTATAACCTAACAAATAATATCAATATCTACTACCTTATCTTAAATTAATATATCAAATGTATAAATATAATAACAAAAAAAATCAATGAAAAATACAAAAAAATATAAAGTATTAACAAAACTATTAAGTGTAACACATAGAGCACACATAGAGAACAATTAATACTTATAAGTACATTATGCAATAACATAAGGCAACAGGCATGTATTGGTGTTGATGAAGAGAGAGCCAAGGAGAGGCATAGCTGGTTTCAAAAAGTATACTCAACTCCAATTATGGAATAATAAATCTCTGAACCCCGATCTAAATGAACCGAGGGACTTAGCTATTAAAGCACTTGACAGGGAATTATATAACGAGACCGCAGAATACGTAAATGATCGTCGATATAAAGAGGTCTTATATTGAGGTAGATATAACTGATTAATATTTCGAGTGTCTCTGCTCTGAACAGTTTGGCGCAGTTTTAATTTAGATTTTAAATATAATGGTGTCTGTAATTTAATTAGATTGTGTACAAAGGTAGCCAAATGCAGTCTACGGCGTTCATACATATTAAGCCACTTCGATTCTTTAAGCCAAGGTGAGATATGCTCCCCTCTATCCAGAGAACAAATAAAATGTACACATGAATTTTGAATCTTCTGTATTCTGGAAGAGGAGTGCACATCAAGACAAGGTCCATAGACAATGTCAGCATAGTTGGCATGGCTAAGAACCAAACTGTCACATAGGCTACGTTTCAATGCTTGACTCATAATTTTTTTATTCCTATACAATCCCCTCAATGCTGTATAACTTTTCTGCACAATCGAATTGACATGATTTCGGAATCTCAAATCACAATCTAGAACCAAACCCAAATTCTTGACAGTTTTTAATGGATGGATTATTTCGTTATTCAGTTTAACAGGTAATCCCTTTGCTAAGGGTACCTTACCAAAACAAATCATTTGAGTTTTGCCAAGATTCAACTGAAGACCATGATTCAATGAGTATTTACTTATTTTCTCAAGAGCAGAATTAATATTATTGTAAACAGCTGCTGCATTTTCAGCAGTGTAAGTTGCATATATTTGCGTGTCATCGGCAAATTGATGCAGTTCGCAATCCACAACATTATTTTTCAAATCAGCGGTGTAAATAAGGAACAAGAGTGGTCCCAAAATGGAACCCTGAGGTACACCCCTAGAAAGCGGTAAAGCATCCGACTGAGCCTCATCGAGAACTACACACTGGCATCTATTAGACAAATAACTGCCAACCAATTCCACAACATTTTCCGAAAACCCGTAATAATGAAGCTTTGCCAGTAAAAGGTCATGCCCCAAGGTGTCAAATGCCTTAGTATAATCTAATAGAAGCAGACTTGCACCCTTACCTGTATCTAATTCTGTTAATATATCATCCAAAACTTTAGCTAAAACGGCAGAAGTACCATATTTACTCCTGAATCCTGACTGGCAATCAGGGATCAAATTATGTTTAGTTAAATGATTTAAAACTTGACTATATACCAACTTTTCCAATATCTTTGATAAAACTGGCAATTTACTTAAGCGGCCCTCACACGGTCAATAATATTGCCAATATTTTTTATTGTCAATGTTTTATCAATATTTGAAAGGTGGCCTGACACGGTCAATACATATATCAATATTAAGTTTTGTGCAGATATTAAGTGTGAATCATTTTGATATATGTAAGTGAGAAAAAATCGAGGAAAAAATTTATAAAAAGGCGTTGGATAAAAAATAGATATCAAAAAAGAAAAGGGGTTTGGCTAACTAAATCTTCTAGAGTACGTTAAGAAACAGAAGGCTGATGATTGCGATCCCAAAACTGGTGAAAACAACGACGGCGATGTTCCGTCTTCCGCCATGGTTACCAATAAACTAGTCAATTCTTGTCAATCATGCGACATAATGATCAATATATTGTCAATACGACTAGCTCCGCCTTTAATATTGTCGAGTATTTTCAGGGTCCCGAAAATCCATCAATATATTGAAAGTATTAAAATATGCTCTTAAAGTATTAAAGTATTAAAGTACGCTCAAACGCTCAATAATATTGTCAATAATCCAAAATATTGACAATATTATTGATCGTGTGAGGGCCGCTTTATAGGTAATAATTTACTTATAGGTAATACGCAATAATTTTGACCATGTGTGTATATTAAAATGTGTCAGACTTGTATCTTAATGTGTGTCAGACTTGTATCTAAAATGATCTGAGTCGAATTTATATTATTATTGTAAACTGTGAATCTGATTTAAGCTCCACTAGAAAGTATTTATTATCTTGGTCTTTCTTCTTAAGTTATTTTTACCGTTATTTAATCGTGTATCAATATTTTTATGTTTCCAGTCTAGAAATTGTAAAGTTTTTATTTTGTAAACTTATTTTCATTAAATTTCTTTGCAGTCCCAGCCAAGGTCCTTGCTGTAGCAGTGAAACTTGCAAATTTATACCGCTATATGAGCATGAAGTTTGCAAAATCGAATCAGACTGCTCAATGTCGTCCAAATGCAATGGAAGAACCGCCGAATGTCCATCACCTCAGCCCAGACCCAATAAAACGAGATGTAACAATGGAACTCAACTTTGCATTGATGTATATAATTATTTCTCTTTTTTAATTCTAATTAGTTACAAATATATTTCAGGATATTTTTTCATCGTTTTATTAATTTTTATTATTTTTTTTTCACGTAGGGAGAATGCACAGGTTCAATATGTCTGGAATGGAATCTACAGGCTTGCTCAATTACTACCCAAGATCATCCGAACATAGATAAGCGAAAATTGTGCGAGTTAGCTTGTCAAAACGGCACAGATATTTGTCGAAGTACCAGTGAATTTGCACACAAAGTAGGACTGCCACCTGGTGGAATAAGTCTGCGACCAGGTTCTCCCTGTGACAATTTTCAGGTAACTAAACATATTTTATTAAGAAATTATTATTTTATATTAAATATTATAATATAAATTCATAGAATAAGTTGGAGGTAAAATTACAGTTAGAAAGCATGGTACCAAAAAAAAATATTTTCACATTTATTATGTGTCATCTGTTTGACAATTTGAAATTGGCGCGCGAAGCTTGCCGACCAGTGGTGCCGTTTATCACCAGTGACGTAGTGACCAACCTGCGCAATATCATACCTTATTTTCTTTGTATCATGGTTAGAAAGTATAGTCTCTCCAACAAGCGGATGATGACAGTTATGCTTGCCATTTTAATTCACCAGTAAATTGTGTTTTCTGTAATTTTTGGATGTCTTCTGTCAAAATCTTCCCCGGCTCGTTGGACAGACTATAATTCGCTTCTGTATCAGACAATGGCGGCTCGTGACCCGTGGGACTGTGTAGGCGACAAGTCTAGGAGCATTTTAACATTAAATTTCATTTTTAGGGTTATTGCGATGTATTCTTGAAATGTAGAGCAGTGGACGCAGACGGACCCTTAGTCCGTTTAATGAACCTTCTGTTGAATCGGGAAACCCTTTTAACCGTTGCCCAGTGGATAACGGAATTTTGGTGGGCGGTATTACTGATGGGCGTGGCATTTATTATCTTTATGGGACTGTTTATTAAATGCTGCGCAGTACATACACCTTCGTCCAATCCGAAGAAGCCACCGGCAAGGCGCATTAGTGATACTTTTAGAGGACCGATCAATACTTTAAGAAGAATGGTGAGTATTGTGTTTATTTTTGATGTGATATTAAAAATATTTCACCCCCTTCGAACGAGAAAACTTATGACAGTGGAAGTTGTTTCTCATTTTAACTCACACAGAAAATTGTATTTACTTTCATTTTTTTGGATGGTGTCTGTCTAATCATAACCTTTAATTAAAACACTTTTACTTTTACACTGGACGCGCGTTTCGCTAACGCATCACCAGCAGATGATTAAAACTTCCTTTTACTTCAGTTTTAATCATCTGCTGATGATTGATTAGACAAAGGCGTGTCCAGTATAAAAGTAAAAGCACAGATTAGGTTTCCTATAAATATACAGATAAAAATCTTGACCCTAATTCGTGGTACGAAAATTGTTTTTTATGATGATGTGCAAACGAGTCAAATTTCCTGTGCGCAAAAATAAACTCGCGTAAAATAACAATAAACACCGTAATAGAGAGATATCGTTAAACCGAATAGCGTGCATGGACGTTAATAAGGCCAGGTGTTATTTCCTTTACGTGAGGTGGTATTAACTCTCTTCATTTATAGTTATCGGATCGGAAAGAATTCTGATCGCGTCGCGTCCGCTATTTAAACTTAACCTAACTTTGAATTTAAAACTTTGAAATTGTTTTGTTTACTAGGTATTTTAAAACTACCGGGCTACAGTGCTTATTTCCAGTGCTTTATTGTTCAACGTCTGCCAGTGGGTTTAGGGCAACAAGCAACAAATTCTCTTAGAAGGGCCAAGTCGTCATCTGCTGTAAACCTAAGACTCTTTATAGGTTCTTTAGTATTGGAAGAGGTGGAATCCATATTTTGGGCCATATTTACTTAATTAAAACTAATCACAGCTACTTAAATATCAAATTACATAATAAAACTAAAGCAATAATTCAAAACAATTTAAACATAACCTAAAATAAAAGATCTCGCCGGCCGGCTCCGGTTGTCAAATACCCGCACATGCCCATTTAAGCAATTTTTAAACGTTATCAGAGGTTATTTAGAAAGAGCGCTTGGTGTAATTGATCCGCAAATTACGTCAGGCGGTAACGTTATTAGTGGGCGTTGCGTTAAAAATTGACTCGCGCATATCGTAACTATGATAAGGTACGCGTAAATACTGGATGACGCTATTCGGTTTTCCTATATCTCTCTAATAACTGTGCCGGTCAGGCGCTGTGCACAATTTTAGAGGCCATAAGTGGGCGTGCTATGTGCGCAAACTAGTCACCTAACTAGTGCCCGATTCCGAAAATTGGAACCACGAAAAACAATAAAGAAAAAACAAAGATTATAATCTGTGGTAAAAGTATCTTGGTGTATTGTGGTGATTTATAGTATAATCACTATAATAGTATGGTTACTATAATAGTGACTATACTTCTTAATAAAATTAAACTCACTTTAAAATGAATAAAATTTCAGAGGTATCATCATCATGGTGCTGCTCAACAGAGAGCCGGACCTCATGTGCCAGGAAGGAGTCGACCGGAGCGATCAGGTCGTCCTTCAGCCAGTCAAGGAGGACCAAGAGCGGGTTATGGTGAAGGGAGGGGGCATTACCATGCTGCTAAAGGTAAAGGAAGTAAATGTACGTCATTTTATTTTTTTTTTATTTTATTCACCTTCATAGTAAAATATCTCACAGATATATTTTATTTTAAGAAAGTAAAGTTTGGTAGCAATTTATTTATGTATTCTTATTCATAATTTGTGTTAAAGTCTGTTTAACAAGAAAATAGATGATTTCGACAGCTGGCAAAGAAATTGACAGGCAACAACTCAGAGTTCTATCTTTTTATTTTTAACTCTATGGTTGGACAGTCTCAAGAACGGTAAACTAATAGGATTGCTCTTCCCGCGCTTCAGCTGACAGTTGTGACGTCATTGTAGTCCTTGTCATGATAGTGTGTATTATTAGTTGCCTATGGTAAACTTATAAAAATAACAGCTGCAAAATTCTGAGTTAATTATTTTGTAAATTTTAAATGTGAAAAAGGTGTTTTTAAGGTTTTTAGAGCAATAGAGTGTATAAATACGTTCATTTTGTGCTGTGGATTGTGACAACGTGCTTACTAAGTGCCTACGATATTGTTTATTAATTATTTTAAAGCAAAATATGGAAGTACTCTAAAAAGAATGCCTGCAAAAGGTGATGCTGGGAACTGCTGTTCTTAAAAATGCATTATCCGAGTATTTAATACGATTTATACAGTTAATTTTCTATACTGCATACATATAAGGTGTTTAAATAAAATAATGAATTAAATAATGAACTTTTTGCATCCGGCAACCAATAATGCACGTGTGTGTATTATTGGTTGCCAGATAAAGTAATAACCATGAATAAAGAAGACTACAATGATGTCACAAAGCGAGGTACATGCACCTGGCGGACACTTTTGGCTGAATGAGCAGTCCTATTAGTGTTAACTGTTCTTTAAAAAACAGTCTATACTATTTTAAATCAGAATCATACCAAGCTTCTATAATTTGAAAAAATTATTTTGTTTTGTTTAAAGATGGTCGTTATAAATGAATATTATAAAAATATATAATTCTAATAAAAATAGATAAGTTATAATAAGTATTTATTAACACAAACATCCGATACGCTACTGAAGCAGGTAAGTCAAATTAACGTATCTAAATTCTTTGACATCTAATCTTTGACAAGTAATAAATAAAAGCTAAAATGCAAGAAAAATATATAATTTAATTAATTTAAGTGAATTTCATAAATGATCGGTTTACTACACATATGTATATTATATAGTCACTTACTAGCGAAAAGTTGTTCCATTATTTCACTCAATTTTGCACGCTACACAACCAACTATTTTAGAGTCTTTTTCGATAAATCGCGATAGTGTCACTGTTAATTTAAGTTCTGCCACAATTTCCATCTAGATTTACTACCTTTATACAACTATCAGTAGTAAAATAAATAATAAATAACATAAAATCAGCTCCGTAAAGCCTGACAAATCCACAAAATTTCAAATCAAATTCAAATGTGTCAAATGAATCGTCAAACAGAACTGTCAAGGATCCCCACCCTAGAGAGCTTTTATGGTGCCTTTTCCGCCCACCATGCATGAATACATGGATAGCATTATGCTTCTTCCTTAGTCTTCTTATTCAAAGGTAATAACCATGACAAGGACTACAATGACGTCACAAAGCGAGGAGCATGCACCTGGCGGACACTTTTGGCTGAATGAGCAGTTCTATTAGATTAACTGTTCTTGGGACAGTCTATACTTTTTTAAATAGGTATAATATCAGAATCATACCAAGCTTCTAAATAAAAAAAATACATTCTGTTTTGTTTTAAGATGTCGTTTAAATTAATATTTTTATTATATTGTTTTAGTTAAATGTGAGAACTTTTACTTTATACAGTGGTAGTCAGGAAATGTAGTATTAGAATAGTAACACTTTTATGAACACTGAAATATTTATGAGTACCCCTGTATATGTTTTTATTTGTTTTAATCATTATTGGATTATGTCACATCATTTCAACTCCAACTATCATTGCATTAGCTTTGTCGAGGTGTATGTTTGTGTTTTTATGTGTGTACATTCAAAGTACGTTTATAATCATCTGTCCAAATGTGACATTGTGTTTGTTTACATTGCTTAGCGCATTATTATGCTTAATAACATATTTTTTATCATCTTTGTTATATTTAAATAATTATAATATTCTATAATAAAGAAGGGTATTTTTGAAATCTTATACTATTTATTTTATGTATAATTAATAGGAGACACACCTAGAAACACATCCTAATAGAATATTTTTCTCCTAATGTAACTAGATTATTCTCCATTAGCATCTGCGCCACCCCCTACAAATCTACCGTATGCAGGAGCCTATGAAATGAGAAACAAAGTCTGACAGAAGGTAAGAAATAAGCCTTAAACACAATTCACTTAAAGCAAGCATAAATTTATATCCTGTCTGTTTTACATAATATACAGGGTGGTCCGAACTGTATTCCGGAAACTTTGGCAGCATATTCTGCAGATAAAAATAAGTAAAAAAGTTCGTATAAATGTATGTCCTAAAATGCTTAGTTTCGGAGATACAGGGTGTAGAAGTTTCATTTTTATTTAGATTTTTCCAAATAATTTGTGAAGTAACGTCAATATTTGGATGAAAATTGGCATCTGGGATTTTTTTGACATGAGAAATTTGATTTTACCTTTTTTACCTAAGAAACGTCGTAAATGTATATTTTTTTATTCAGTATTTTTATATAGATACGAACGAAAAGTTATTAGTCATCAAACCAGTTAAAAAATATGTAGGTGACGCCCTCTACAAGTATATAGGAGTTATATTGACATCAAAATCAAATTTCTCATGCTAAAAAACTCTCAGACAGCACTTTTCATCCAAATATTGAGGTTACACAAAAATTATTTGGAAAAAATCGAAATAAAAATGAAACTTCTACACCCTGTATCTCCGAAACCAAGCGTTTTAGGACCTACATTTATACGAACTTTTTTGCTTATTTTTATCTGCAGAATATACTGCTGAAGTTTCCGGAATATAGTTCGGACCGCCAAACCAAACCGTAACATATAAACTTGCGTGCATTGGAATCGACCCACTGTACACTTTTAACTTTAAATGTGTCTTTTAGAATCTATTTATCAGACCAAGAAAAAAAATAAGAGCTGTTTCAAAGACAATTTAACATGCTTTAATATGAGTATAAATTTATCCAAAGTACTTATCGTTTATATACGTAGCAACGGGTAAACAAATGAAAGGCATTTGTGTTGTGGTGACAATAAGAATAAAAAACTTATCAAATATTGCAATTTCTACTTTACTGTTACTTTGTAATCGAAATTTGCACATTGTTCTTTTATTGTTTGATTTGTTGTGTTTCATTGTTTGATTAGTGTTTCAATTTAATGCATAAATCACGGAAAAAAGCTGTCAAAGTAATCGCTTTAATTGAAAATGGACTTAAACAGAGAGCTGTTGCTCTTCGAAGAGTGTGTGGATGATATGAGGAGACCCGATCCTTTCGTAGGCGACCTGGAACCGGTGGAAAGAGATATACAACGGATCGTGATGACCGCTTTATTGTGTCAACAATATTAAGAAATCGGCATCTTAAGGCGATTCAGGTGCAACAACAGCTCCGTGAAACACGGGGAGTGACTGTTAGTCAGAGGGCAGCAAGACGAAGATTGAAGGAAAGTAACATGACCCCCAAAATACCTGCAATTGGTCCAAAACTTACCCCAGCTCATTGTCAAACACGCCTGCCTTTTGCACGGAACATCTGAACTGGGCACTAGAACAATGGGGATGTGTTTTATTCTCAGATGAGACCAGGATATGCCTGTATGGTAGCGACCGAAGAAGGAAAGCGTTCCAGAAGCCAGATGAGCGATTCGCAGAATGCTGCATTGAGGAAGGGATTGCTTATGGAGGTGGTTTCTGCATGATCTGGGGTACAATTTCTTTGATTGCGCGAACCGACTCAGTTTTTATCCGTTGGGACGACCGTCGGCATGGGAGAGGAGGTTTAATTGGTGCTAGGTATATTGAGGACATTTTAGCAGTTCATATGGTGCCTTACGTCGACTACATTGGAAGCGAATTCACTTTTATGCATGACAAAGCGAGAGCACACACATCAAGAATCGTACACGATTACATTTCAGAAGTCGGTTTTCGGGTTATGGAATGGCCAGCATGCAGTCCAGACTTAAACACGATAGAACATTTATGGGATGAGCTAAAACGAAGGATTCGTACTAGACAAAGAGCCCCAACCTCTATCCCAGAGTTCATTGTTGCAGTATAAGAAGAGTGGCTTAACATACCGCAAGCAACAATATCAAACTTGATTGAATCTATGCCAAAGTGTATGAGAGATGTTGTAAGAGCAAGACGGGGTCATACCCATTATGGAAAATTTATTTTAGTTAATTGTCAATCAATAAATAAATAAATAATGGCATACATCTTAGTAATAAAAAACGATAATTTGTTTCATGCATTAATTTAATAATTTTAATCCAAAGAAACCGAAAAACAAATTAATATCTCTAAACTCTTTTCAAAGAATATAAAATTGTCTTTCAAACAGTATATATTTTTTCTTAATCTGACAAATATATTCTAAAAAATATATAGTTAGCTTCAAAAGTTTGCCTTGGGCCGATTTCTATGCACGCAAGTGTACATGTAAAATAAGTAAAACTGGTGGTAGTATAAAACTGTAACTAGTTTAACCTGATAAGTACGATCGTTTTTTTTGGTTATATTAATAACAATACATGCATTTTAGGAAGAGGGCGGGGCTATTGAAATAGCTCCACCCCCGCGGGTGTCTCCGCCTCCGGATTATCCAGGCACCCCCATGTTGGCCAATATAACGTTGAATTTCGATCAGGCCGTACTGACGTCGCCTCAGCACCTCCAGATCGAAATGAAGCAACAGCAGCTCGGGTCTCGACCGTCCGGATCGAACGGCATCAGACAAGGAAGCGTTTCCAGTCCGGAAGTCATCATTAAACCCGGTGTAAGTGCAATACCAGTGACCGAGACTGGAAGACATGTGGATTTGGCATCTGTGGCGCCATCATAATGTGGTGTTTTGTATTTGGTAACGATTTGGCATGGTTTAATTCAAAAATATTGATTTTTTGACACAGATTGTTTTTACGCCTTCTACTACAATCTGATTCGTTTGAGTTTTTTGTCTTGGAAGTAGAATTTTTTGAATTATTTAACTCTGTCTTAGAAAATTAGGTAATTATTGGGAAAACTGGAAATCGTCCGATTTTCACCAAAATTGGTATACACACTATTTTGAGGTCGTAGATTACGAATCTGAACTTTTTTCTTGGCGGTCTCTTACCGTTTTTCAGAAAAACGGAAAATTATTTCAACATTGAATTTTTCTTTATTTCGGCCCTATAAAGTAATAATTTTACTATATTTTCATTATATTATTGTTTATCTAAAAGCTACACTTGATTGGGGATAGAAATATATCCAAAATTTTACTGAAAAACACTTTTCTTAACAAAATAACAAAGAAAATTGAGACCAGGATGGAAGTTTGACATTTCATATATCCTTCTTTCTCTCTCCTATGTAATGAGAGAGACAAATATATTTTAGACCTAATCTAGAAATTTGAAAATTTACAACGTTGCCATATCTTCTATTTTTTCAGGTGATTAGGGATTTTAAATAAATTACGTATTATGAGATCGACAATAATTAAATATACCTACCTATATCCACAAAGTTACGCGGAAGAGTTTTGATTGCATTGGTTTCAACTTCTATGCGGAGGGGGTTAATCGTTTTTTTTTGTTATATTTATTATATTTATAACCACGAAGTTGCACGAAAGAGTTTTGATTGCATGGGTTACAACTTCCATGCGGAGGGTGTTAATCTTTTGTTGTTATATTATATCAAAAAAAGATTAAACCCCTGCGCAAAGAAGTTATACCTATAAAGACTATTTATAACCACGAAGTTGCACGAAAGAGTTTTGATTGCATTGGTTTTAACGTCTTTGCGGAGAGGGTTAATCTTTTTTTGATATAATATAACAACAAAAGATTAACACCCTCCGCATGGAAGTTGTAACCAATGCAATCATCATATATAGTAAGATCTCGTTGGTAAAATAGCAATTATGGGAAGGAGCCGTTCTTCTGGCGACCGCCTTTCGTAATTCCAGAATGAACGAAAAAAACACGCTAAATTTAGGTTTAGCATTGGCAACGTTGCTTTAAATGCCAGAAACACATAACCCAACATTTTCAGATTGTTTACAAATTTATTTTAGCAAATTTTCCTCTATTATGCATAGAATTGGTTAAAAAAGTAACAGAAAATAGCAATAACATCATTGTTTATTGAATACCTAACAAAATATATGCTAGAAAACCTTAAAAATATGAGAAATTAAGAAAAATTCGATGTTGAAATAATTTTCCGTTTTTCTGAAAAACGGTAAGAGACCGCCAAGAAAAAAGTTCAGATTCGTAATCTACGACCTCAGAATAGGGTGTATACCAATTTTGGTGAAAATCTAACGATTTCCAGTTTTCCCAATAATTACCATATTTATTTACAACCACATAATATGTAATAGTGACATTCCAGACTTAAAAATTTTGAAAGTGTCAAATTATCTACATCTTCTCTCTTCCATTTCCCTCACTCGATTTTTCTTATTTCTCGCCTCATTTAATTAAGCAAAATACTCTTGTTATATCTTTATTAAATACATATCTAACATCAACAAAAATAAACAAGAAGATTACCAATAATAATTGAATATTTTAATACACTTATTTGTTGAAGGTAAAAATGCTAGACTTTTTTGGCTTAAAACCTACATTCTGGCGTTTTAAAAAAGCGACGAGTTTGTGATATTTTGATATGTCAGTTTTTTTCCTTAATTCTATCATTGTCCGTATCATGCTGTACATAGGCCAAAGAGTAGATGGCTTTTTCTGCCTTCCCATGTCGCTAAAATATGCCATCAAGACTGTCTCCGAAGCAATATTCTTAGCATTTCTTTCGGCACATCATTTTTCGTATACTTTCAATGCTATTTCATATCGTCCCCTACTTTTCTCTGGAAGTAAATTGGCTTCTGCTCTTTTTGCAGCTTCTGTAAGTTCTGGTGGAGTACTAATATTAAAGTCGTCTTCATTATCAGAACTTTCCGACAACATTCTGACTTTCTATGTTATACAAATTCGAAAAAGCGAACGAGAAGTTGTTTGTTTTGCTGTTGAAGGTTTGCGCCATAACAACCACTGGTACGGGTAACTATAGATATGGAAATGCCAAAACAGAAAACGACAAATTTTCGCATATTTATTTTTTTTCAAAATAAAATACTGTCCCTATTTTTAATTAATGATGTGGTTGTAAATAAAATAGTATACAAACCTTGGAGGAAAGTTTTCATTATTGTTTCGAGATTTAGTTAATCTCGCGACAGTAATGAAACACTTCTCTCCTCGGTATGTAATATACTATTTAAACTCTAGAGGAAGGTTTCCCTAACTATATTAGCATAATCAGCAGATGACTAAAAAACTTATAGTTTATTTGTTACAAATGATAATCAGCTGCTGATAATGTTAACATGGTTAGTAAAATATGCATCTATAGTTTAAAATTAAGTGTTTTGGTCTTTGACATGTTGCGATAAATTACTGAAATTTTCTGTTGTAATTAATAGTAAATCTGATAATGGATGCTCCAACCAGAATTTTATAACTCTCTAGCATAGATAAAAGAAAGAAGTTTAGATTGGAAAGTGCCCATAAGGAGAATGTAAATACTATTTGGCGCTATTCTTACAACGGTCGCTCTCCAAAGCTTTTGATAATTTCGGAGCGGTTCGGCTTTTTCCGGAATTATGTCGCCAAACATTATTTATTCAAATTTATTATTTTCTTTTAATTTTTTTAATACAATACAGTGTGTTGCATATAAGAAACTTTATTTTTTATAAGATCATGTATGAAATACCTATGAAACATTGCAAACCGACGCACAGTGGGGTATTTGACACCGATAGTTGATCGACTTTTTTATGTAGACCCTATATAAAGTATTGCTATTTTCAATTAAAAAGGAAATAATATGAACAAAATAAAGCATCAAAAAAAAGAAAGAAAAATCACTGTTCCAGTGTTTCCACGGTCTATGCCACTAATGCCACTAGTAATATCGCAACTAATACTACGACTGATCCGCGACCAATGCCCATACCACTAAAGCCGCTACTAATGCCAAATTGTGTTATACTGCTAATGGCACTAATGCGATCGCTTTGTACACAACAATGCCATCGCGGTTTACACCTTGCATTAGTATATCACTGATTTGCAAATTAGAGGAAACCAAGAATGTTTTTCTCATTTTATCAGCAAAGTCGCAAAAAGTCGCAGTATTTTATTTTACTGTATGAAAGCCCAATGTTTACTAAGTAAAACGTATATAGACAGTATACTGAATTATTCGAAATGCGCAACTAAATCTCTAAGTATAATAAAAATGTCACAAATTTAATCAAATTTTCTGAACGCCTAACTTTTAGTTGCCAAAAAATCGTTAGTATAGAGAATGTCAAAATAAATAATATGTTTTTGTAGAATTGCCTGTACCTGCAGCTTGCTGAGCCATTTTCAATCAAAACAATAATATAAACGTAAAAGGAGCACAAGAACAACAACAATTTATAATTTTAAACATAAAATTTAGCCATTTACCTCTTATCTGTGAGAAGTTACAATTTTGACGTTTCGTTGAAACAAATGAATGCAACTAAACACACCCATAGCAACGCCATTCATGGCAGACATGATTTAACTTATCATTTATCTTTTTTTGGGAAATCTTAAACACATTTACTTTTTCGAATTTCGATCACCTTTGTCATGCTAATACTCCACCGTGCGACGTTATGCCACGATCCACGATGGTTTTTGCAGTTCACAGTTCACACCACAGCTTTTTAACTTTTTAATGCCACTTTTTCACAATTATCACGGGTTTGTGTAAATAACATTTAAATTAAACTCACGAGATAGCAATAATTACTTTGAAAATGGACGCTTTAAACACTTTTCGGCATTTTTTTTAATTAGGGTGGTTTAAATTTTGAAAGATTTTTATAAATTTTGAATATTTTGACTTTGAAAAGAGAAAATTATTACTGTTCTTGTTTGCGGTTGTTCTCAGCAACCGCTATAGCAGCGCGCTACAACGTTTGCGCTCCAAAACAATAATTATAAGTTTTGGCGACAAGCCGAGCATTCCAATCTAAACTTGTTTCCTTTACCTATGCTCTCTAGCTCTCTATGTCATATTATTGACAACCAAGTTAAGAGCAAAGAGTAGATAAGACAAGAGACGACAGTTCGCGCGGTACCTTTCATGTTTGAGTGGTGGGGAGAGTGACCTCGTCTCGCTTGTCCCTTTAAATTTTCGTAACTTTTTCGCGGGAAATTTGAAATAGACTATTATTAAAATTTGCCTGTATAGCTTATAAATAGTTACTGTGTGGGTAAAGAGATAAATAGAAACGAAAAAAAATGAGTTTTCTAAATATTATATAAAATAAATTATAATTAGAAACATATTTGTCGGGGAATAAAGATAATAAAAGCAATATTTTGTATATCGTTGGTAAACAAGAGAAAGTGACCAAGTCGATTTGTAAGAAATGTTTTATTTACGTGTATTTTTTTTACATATGGACTTGAACAAGTGTAATATCACAATGTGGAGTTTATGTACAAAAAAATAGAGTTGCTCAATTTTTATTTAATAAATCCTCGCAATTACAAGCTTCTAACCATGTCTTCGATCTATGGATTACATTTAGTTTAATAACATAATTATATAGTATATTTCTATAAAAATACTTTTCA